TTGACAGGACTACTTTATGTGAGCTGAGGTACTGAAAGGCCAGCAAAGCCTTCAATATGGGAAAATCCACAAACTTTCTAGACCAGGTTTCCTACAGAGAGACTGGCTCATTGGGAAGCTATTCTCCTAAGCAGAATTACTCTATATTTTAATGTGAAATTTGTATTAGATGAAGATAAAGCCAGTTTCATGCTTAGTCATGAATAGACAGATTTGGAAACAAATCACACCATGGGGCAAAGTAGGGTCAATGAATGGGGTTGTCATTTAGACAAGTCCATAGATGGGGTGGGGTTTTCTTTTCAGGGAGCCCTTTGAACAGGATGAGAGGTTCAGTTGGGGACAGTCACCTTAAACTGAAGGAACTAGCACTAGTTTTCGAGCTTTATTTAGAATATTCAACAGTGACTGGAAACTGTCCACAATACCTTATTCTTCCTTAGTGAGTTGAGCAAAGGAATGAAACACTGAGGCAGTCCTGAGGCTTATGGGCAGGGAATAAGGCAGGCTCCTCATTTGTGGGTATCTGAACTTTCAATGAGTCCTTGGTCACCTGAGAATATAAATATATACATACATATATGTATATATATATGGATATATATGTATTTTAGGGAGGGTAATCTAGCAGATACAAATACTTCCTTTCTAGAAAACAGTATAAGATATTACCCCACACATAGGAGACATACAAAACAATCCTCTTTGTTTTGATCAGTATTTGTAAAATTCTCTCAGGGTGGTAGAAACTTAATCTTGATAAGTACAAATTCCACCATAGATACCAGGGTTGTGTCTATGTAGTGTCCAGATGTCCACATGGTGATGTGAATTTAATCCTCAAGGTCGTTATCTATCCATACCAGCATCCATTGTGATGCCACACGCTTAACCATGAAGCTTGTTGCCAAGTCTTGACCATTTTCTTGACATTAAGCTCTCTTTAAGGATCAGCTTTCTCTCAGCCAGTCCTGTGGCTCTTTGTAGGGGGCAAACCCTATGAAGCTGCCTCAGGCTATCTGCCTAAACACAACACTCAACCATTTTCATTCTGTGGTCCTGCCACTACACTGAGTTCTATCTGGGAATGGGGGCATTGATTTTGTTGTTCTTACATCCCCCAAACTGATTTGGGGCTTTCTTGTTCCCCTTCCTCACTGGGGCTGAATCTTGGGGGAGAGGCAGTAAAAGTGTATGGAGTTCTTTCTTAGGAGCTGTAATAGGCACAGATTATTCTCACTTCAAATGAGAGAAATCCTAACCAACAATGGTTTAAACAATTAATTATCTCACAAAACAAGAGGTCTGGAGACACAGGCCAGGACTGGCATAGCAGCTTCACTATATAACCAGGAATTCATCTTCCTGCCATACTTCCACTTTGTTACCCTCAGCTATTGGCTTTTGTCATTGTGTTTGTCACCACTGTGCTTGTCATGTCCGAATGGGGAAGGGCTATATGAGGTACAAGGAATTATAAGGGGAAAATCCTCTATAAATGTTACAAAATATATCTCACCATGGTTACAAGTACACAGAAACCCACCCAAATTAGGCCAAGGTAGAAAGAGAATTTGTTGGTTGGATGTAAGTATATTTCATGGACCTAAGGATAGGAAGTATAGCTGAACTTCACTGTTGACTAGAAGCAGGAACTGGAAAGCTGTTATGGATCAGTACAGCTGTTATCCCTTCCTTTTCTGGGCACATGATCTCTTATGGTCTGCTTTATTTTTCTTTCTTGGCATTTTCTACTTCTCTGTGTACAAAGTAGAAAATGGTCACTTTAGCCTTATCAAGTTCAAAGGCAAACTAAGATTGAGTAGCATCTCTTTTGCTTTAAATTCTCTGGGGAAAGAATATGATTGGTCCAATTTTGGTGGTATGTCAATCTTTAATCCAATCAGTGACCATGGGGATGGGGTCAAATGACTTAGCTGTTCTTAGGAACTAAGGGAGAATACTCTTGAGAAGGGACCATGTGTGTGTGTGGGGGTGGGGGGGCAGTGGTTGTTGGAGAAGAAACAATGGACAGCTCTACTACTCTCTTGATACCCTAATCTGCTGAAGGATAAATCAAATTAACCATTCATTCATTCTACAGACATTGGTCTCACTTGTTCTTCCCCTTATGCTCTCTCTCAGAGTGTCAGTACCGCTCATCTAGTTGCCTATATTATAAACTCTGTACAACCCAATAAGCAACACAACAGCTAATATTTATTGAGTATGTGTACTATGTGATAGGCATTCTATGTGCATTATTTTAAATTCAACCGCATAACAACTCTACAAATAGGTATTATCTATTTTATAGATAAGCAAAGTGAAATTTAGAGATGTTAAGTCAAGCTTTCAACATCTCTTTCGGATTACTGCAGTAACCTCCTGTCTCCCTGCCTCTGATCTGACTCCTCCTATCCTTTTTCTGCCTGTCAATCATAGTGGTATTTCTAAAACACAAATCTGATCGTGCTGCTTTCCTGCTTAAAACCCTTCTATGGTTCCCTCAGGATAAAGTCCAAATTCCTTTGCATGATGTATAAAGCCTTTCATGATCTGGGTAGCTATCACCCTACCAATCTCTATCCTCATCTCTTTCAGTCTTGCACCTCACAGTCTATCCTTAAGCCACACCGATTATTTGCAGTTCTTAACAATTCATTTCTTACTTCTGCACAACAACCCTATAGCCATTCTCCCTGCTGACTCCTACACATTACCCACACGCAGGATTAAGCTTAGATGTTACCCTATTCAGAAGCCTTCTCTGATTGAATTCAGTGCCCCTCCTTTATACTTTTGTATCACTCAGTGATTTTCTCCTATACTTATCACACCATACTGTAATTGTTTGTAAACTTATTCTGTCTCTTGCACTGGATTGTAAAGTCATTGAGTGGAAAGATTATGTCAGGTTTAGTATTGAAAACCCTAAGATTAGGGTAGTGCTTGGTGCATAATAGTTGCTCAATAAATATTTGTTAAATGAATGAATCTTTGGTAGAATTCTGGAAGAACTCGAAAAGCTACCTGGAGAGAAAGAGATATTCAATATTTCTTGTTTAGTAAATGGATTATTCTGACAGCTATTTCCCCTTAGCCCTTTTTTTTTGGCTTATAATTTATAAAAATTGAGCAGATGCAAATTGAAAAATTGATAAAATTAACTGTGAAAACACATCACAAAGTAATAAAATAAGAAAGTGATATAAAACAATAAATAATGGTGTTAAACCTAATGTAAGAAGAAGAATGCTGAATGCAGTGACAAAGTTGTGAGATTGGGGGAGAAAAAGCAAGGAACTGAAAATTCTTTTCACTGCTTACTAAATTGAATGTATATTGCTGGTAATATTTCATTTAATTCTTACAATAATTCTTTGAGGTTGATATGTTATGCCTGTATTAAAACTAAGGAAATTAAAGATCAGATTAGAGCAAAATAAACTGAATGATTACACAAGAAACTCTCTACAGATAAGCACATAAAAGAAATGAAAATCAACCTTAGAAAATATTGTGGAGAATATGCGAAGGTAAACCACTCTACACCCTAAATGATTCTTTTGCTGGGTCTGGGCTCCTGTATCAGCTTTCCAGCTTTCTCTCCTAAAGCGATTTCCTTCACTTTCACCTTCTTTGAATGTAGGGATATGTCCTTCCTTTTACCTGGATGAATTCCATCTCCTTCCTCAAGCTTTGTCTCACTTTAAGTTGCTTCTTGAGTGAAATTTGCTTCATTAGACCCGCTTTCTGATTTAATTAAACTTTTTCGACCCTAGCAAAGCACCCCGACTTCTCTCTCAGAGAATTATCAGCAACACAGCAGTAAATGTCAACACAAAGCCGACTATTACTGTAGATCACTCAGGGGGAAAAAAAAAAGATAAAATCCTTAACAGTGGCAGTGTTTAAGTGACTATATTCTGCGCTGTGAGAACGCCTGGGGTCATTTTTAACTTCCACCATTTCCTACTTCTCAGTTGGGTCAGTTTTCTAAACTTTCTAAGTCTCAGTTTTCTTACTTATGAAAAGAGGATCCTAGTAAAAGTCTCCTACCTACCTACTCCAGAACTCCTGTGAGGGCCAGATTAGAGGAGGTACGTGAAAATGCTTCCCAAACATTTGGTAAAACGCTGTAAAATGTTTGTACCTGGCTACAGACGAGATCACGACAACAAGTTGTATTCCTGTGTTGAAGAAACTCAAAGGAGGCTAGTCGTTAAGGAGAGGAAGCCGAGCGTTGCCATGTGACGTCATCACCCAGCGCTTGCCGCGACGGTTTCCGGGTTGGGCTCAAGACAGCATTCCGCGTCATGGGGAGTTGGCGGCGTTTGCTGTTTTTTGGGGGGGCGTCGCTTCGGGGCTGCGGCGGGGCCTGTGTCCCGCTTGGGGGAGGCCGAGTGTTGATTTGGGGGCGCCAGGTCCGTGGTGCTGCAGAGCAGGTGGAGGCGGGCGGGTCCGAGACGCTGGGGCGCCAGGGCTGCGGCTGCTCTGCAATTGCCTCTTGCCGAGGACTCACTTCACTGCCTCGTGGGTACCCGCCCACTTGGCGGCTCAGTGAGACCCCAGTTCTGGACGTCCTCACTTTCCAGGCGGGCCCCCAGTGGGACCGGGCCGAGGCTTAGAGGGGCGTAAAATAGATGGTTAGAACATGGATGTGTGACTTGCACTTGTTTTCTTAGTGTTGGTTTATTTAGAAAATAGGTTAAAGAGAAGGAAAACACGTGGAGGATTTAACTCCGGAAAGAGGCAGCTTACTTTCCATTTTTAACGTCTGCGTATCCTGGCAAATAAATTTCAATTTAAACAATGTGTCTGTGCAATTGTGATCAATAGCAATAGGTAAATAACACTAAAGGCCTAAATAGTGGAGATGAGCAGAATTAGAGTAGAAAAGAAAGCCCTGTTAATTGCAAATACCGAATTGTTTTTGCTTTTACAGCGTGATAATGGAGATGGCTTGTTTTAAAACTGTTTTTTTTCTTCTTCCTAAGTTCTCTGGTGCTGAGAGTGAGACCCTAAAACAAAGAAGAACACAAATCATGTCTCGAGGACTTCCAAAGCAGAAACCAATAGACGGTGTTAAACAAGTTATAGTTGTGGCTTCTGGAAAGGGTGGAGTTGGAAAGTCTACTACAGCAGGTATTATAGGATATTAATTCTCATCTTGATTAGGACTTTATGCCAACTGGCAAGTGCACAATATTAAAATTATAGTTTTGTTCTTAAAAAAGTATTTGTGAAGTTCCTAACAGCTGCTTCCTTAGGATGAGGAGTTGGTAGTGATTGGGAGTTTAGATTTTGGAGTTAGACAAAACTAGATATGTAGCCAGGTCTTTGACTCCTTAACTGAGGAAAAGGTGGTCAGGTTGCCCATTACATCTTCAGTTTACTTAACTGTAAAATGGCAATGATTATAATCTTCTTCATAGGATGGTTATGCAAATTAATTAAACAAGCTGACTACTTAGCCCACTGTCTCATACATAGTAAGTACTCTATATTTGGTTGCTGTTATTATTATTATTAAACATTTAGTAAGTTTAACACTAAATTTATTTCTGTTCTTTGACGTTCTTTTCTAGTCTTTTTCAGTGTACACATAGCTAAGTAGTTGCAATGAGATTGTTTACATTACTGTGGTTTATTTTCATTTAACCATAGTATAATTTTCAGCATTTATAAAGTCAACATAGATCTAATATTTGAAAATGTTTTAATTATTTAAAATATCTTTTAAGCTTTGTATCTTTTATATTAATATACTGGAGCAGAGAATTTGTTTTTTGGTGGCTTTTAAAAATTGATTATAGATTTCATTGTGACTGAAATGCTGCTTTCAGAACCCATAAAAGAAGTGCCCCCAGAAATAGAAGAGTTACCATCCAAGACTAATGACCAGGTATTCCCAGATGTCTTCAATAGAAACTTTTTATTTCTAACAAAAATTTTCAGGGTAATAATGTAAAAAGGTAACTCCCCTCCTCCCAATTCAATTCAACAGAGGCAACTTGTATTATTAATTTGGAGTCATAAAGCTCTCAAGTCTTATTGTTGCCTCATTTAAAATTTTCAATCATTTTAATAGGAATGGCTTAATTCAGATCTTATCCAACCTATCTTTTTTGCAGTTGATTTAAAAAAAGTAACCATCCTTATTTCATTTTGTTAATTTTGGCACAGTTCTACGCTGTTAAAGATCGTTTATGTATGTATTTTTTTTTTAGCTTTTGACTCAAATTTCTGCATTTTTTAAAAATTGAAGTGTAGCTGATGTACAATATTATATAAGTTTCATGTGTACAACATAGTGTACAATTTTTAAAGGTTATAGCCCATTTATAGTTATTATAAAATATTGGATATATTCCCTGTGTTGTACAATATTTCCTTGTAGCTTATTTATTTTATACTTAGTAGTTTGGACCTCTTAATTACCTACTCCATCTTGCCCTGCCCCCCTAAGATTTCTAAACTTTTTTTTTTTCTCAGATAGTAACCTAAAGTTGGGGCATATATGTACCTTAAAATTCCTTAGTTCCATTGAAACCAATGACATTTTCAAATAAAAAGGGCCAGGTACAGAGTTCTGTGACTTTCACTAGAAATCTTGTGTCTTGACTCAAAGCCATATTTGGTAATTCCTAGATGCAGCCGTTTTATAGTTGTACAACCAGCTACAAATCCAACTGTATAGTGTTATTAGCTCAGTTTTTTCCCATTTTGACCTGAATGTAATTGTGGAAGAGTTTTTCAGATGTTTTGAAGAAATTAAGATTTACTAAGTATTGTAGTTATGATAGACCCCTGATATACTATTTGATAGATACTATATTATTATTAAAAATAATTAGCTAGTGATTGTTCTTAATGAATTTATGCTATATCCTACACATTTTGGCTTTCTTTCTTAAGGATCTACAATCCACCTATTTGGTATTTTGTTTTTAAAATTTGGAAGCTCTTAGTTTTTGGTTCTAGAATCCACCTCTACCTGTGTTTTGAAAATTCAGAGTACATTTACCTGTATCCAGTGGTGTGAATCCTTTTGCAAGCTCTGTGTTTACTTGGACTGGTTAAAGATGGAAAGTGTTTTCGTGATAATAGCTATAAGTTCTTTGGGTTTTGTGCAATATAATTTGTTGGGTCTGTAGGCTAGCACTTGTGTAAAACAAATTGTTTATTGTTTTTGGTTGTAAGATCGTCTGTTACCATGGAATGTGACAGCAGTTAGACAGGAAAATATATGAGAAAATGTACAGTGTTTGACACATAAGTGCTTCAGTAAGTGTCCCTTCCTTGCGTTTTTTTCTTTGTTAGCATCGTACCACTTGTCCCAAATAATTGGCCTATATTGTTTCATAACAGCTCTATCTGCATACATAAGCCTTAGAAATAGATTATTTCTATGTAACTCTGTTGGTATTCTATTTCTTTCCATTATATGTATTTATTCCTGTTCCAAACTATCTCAAAATACTTCCTATTTGAATATGTATGCTGGAGATATTTTGGATTAAAATGATGACATTTGATTAATACAGACATGCTCTGTGATTCTATTGTGTAAATGCAGAAAGACCCTCACATTAAAATGAATTACTCTCTAAAAGTTTCTGCCTAAAAGTTGGATTATGTTTAACCTGAAATTCAGAATTATTTTATAATTTATAAAAATTAATTTGTCAAATGCCATGCCTTAGACATAATACTATAATACATACAGTATTTGATTTAATTCTCACAACAGTTATGAAATAGGACCTCATTTTATAGAGGAAGAAACAGGCTTGGGGTAAAATATTCTACTCAAGATTATAAAACAGAGAGTGGTGAAACTGGGGTTTGAACCAGGTCATCCTTGAAAGTTTATGCTCTTAAATACTTTAAAGGAAACAATATCGGCATCATTTATAACACTGTTCTGTAAGGAATTGTGATCCACAGTATGAGGGTCTATTTATTTATCAGTTTTGGGAATGTGTTACTTTTGAACCTCTTTTTCATCCCAGATGTAGCATATCCTTATTGCTGGGCTAAAGGTGGTTTTGGAGACTACTGCCTTCCCCCTTTATGTCTTTGAGATTCACTAACAATAGGCACTTTTGGGAAAATGTTTCACTGCCTTGCCTTTTACCTTCCTCTCTTCCCTCTGCTCACTGGTCCAACCTTTCATTTACGTGGGTATTTGTGAGTTAGATATTTGGAATTCCTGCATTACCGGCATTTATTTTTAAAAAGCAATAGGATCACATCCATTTTTATTTATTAAAAAGTAGGTAATTTTTCCTCAAAATATATTTTTGAAAATAATTGAATGATATATACCATTAACATCATTTAAAAAAAACTTGGATTATTTAAATACAATTGTAACAGATGATAAATGGATTAATTAAAATGATAATTTGGGGGCAGACATCTACTGTTTATGTTGAAATGTTACTTTCTTTTTTGTGTTTTTTACTTTCTGTATTCTCTCCATGTCCTTGTTTTTTATAATGGAGATATATTAAAACTTTATTTGCCTTGGTTGTTACATTGAACATATTAAAAGACAATGAATTTTAGTAGAAGGAAAGTTACTAAATTTTATTACTTTTTTGTTTCTTACAGTGAACCTTGCACTTGCTTTATCAGCGAATGATTCGGTAGGTGTTTATTAATAGAAATACTAATTTATTAAAATGTTTCTTAAGGCAATGATTAAGAGCATACTGATGTTTTTCATTTACTCTGTTGGGCATATAGTGTAGCTCTAGTCATTTGCATGTCTTTAAGGAACTCAAAAATCTGCCATAAGTACTGGTTATATTTAATAATGATGATGAACATGGAAGGGGACCACTAGTCAAGGAATTCAGGCAGCCTCTAGAAGCCAAGGAAATGGCTTTTTCCTTAGAGCCTCCAAAAGGTATGTAATCCTCTCAGCACCTTATTTCTAGCTCATTGAAACCTATTTTGAACTTCTGTGATAATTTCTTACAGTAGGAGTGGGAAACAGATACAGGAAGTCAATTTTCTTAGTTCTTAAATTTCTGAAGATGTCTTTATTTTGCCTTAATATATCATAGTTTGACTAGATGTAGAATTCCAGGTTTACAATAATTTCCTCTCTGAACCTTGAAAACAATATTCCATTTTCTTCTAGCATGCTAATGAGATGTCTGATGCTAGTCTGATTTATATTGCTTTGTAATAACCTGTGTTTTTCCCTTTAAAGCTTTTAAGAGTTTTCTTTATGTCTTTTACGTTTAGAATATGTGTCTGGTTGTTGGCTTTACATTTTTTTTACCTGTTTGGAAATTGGCCAAGCAGTACAAGGCTTGAGTCTTTTTCAGCCCAGGGAGAATTTCTTCATTGATTACTTTTTGTGATGTGTTTGTTCTTTCTCCAGAAACCTATTAGGTAGATATTGACCCTTCATGCTTGTTAATTTTTCTCTCATGTTTTCCATCTCCTTGTCTTTTGCTCTGTGTTTTGGAAGATGTCTTAGACCATTTTCCACACTGCTATATTGGGTTGTAGTTGTTATTTAGCCCTTCCAATTTTTATTTTTAATTTGGAAATGATATTTTTTCCAGTTTTCCAGAACTGTTTTATTTTCCAATTGCTATCCACTTAAAAAAAAAAAAAGGTTGCACCATTCGTTTGAGCCTCTCTGAGGATGCTAATTAGAATTAATAAAAAATGTTCCTTTTAATGATCTCTGTTTACTTAGCATGGTGGTTCTTATAATGTGGTCCTCAGACCAGCAGAATCAGCATCACCTGGGAACTTGTTAAACATACAAAATCTTGAGCCCCACACCTACTGAATCAGAAACCCTGAAGGTGGAGTCCTACAGTCTTGTTTTAATCAGCCCTCTAGATGATTTTGATGCATGCTAAAGTTTCAGAACCATGGATGTATTGTTTTTTAAAACTCTAAATTGCTGATGGCATCCTGTTTCGTTTTCTACTGTGATTATATTTTTAATTTAGTTTTAAGCTATTTTTTCCTCTTGTTTCAATGGGAATTTGGAAGAGAGATATTCATGTATGATTAGGCAACCTTATTGAAATAAAAGCCAGTAATATTTTTTTTTCTTGGCTGCGCCCTGCAGCATGCGGGATCTTAGTTCCCCAACCAGGGATCGAACCATTGACCCCTGGAGTGGAAACTCAGAGTCCTAACCACTGGACTGCAAGGGAAGTCCCGCCAGTAATACTTTCTAAAAAATAGTTTTTATTAGAGTACTTAGTTATCTTGGAGAAGGGACCCCATCTTCCTTAAAGAAGGGAGGAAACAAGGAAAATTCAATGGATGAGAAGGTAAATAAATTCATAGGTGTGGGGATCTTTTAATTTGGTTATCATTTCAGCCAAAGCTTTGATTCTTAAGACAATGCGAAGTAATTATATAAGAAGCAATCGAAGGATGAAAAGAATAGTTAAAAAGGGGTTGATTCCTTCATGTTAGATGTTGCTAGTTTTGATGAGATGGTAGCTCAGATTTTTTTTTCTTTTTTCTTTTTTTTTCCCTTTCAGGGAGCAGGGATGGTCAGCTTCATATTTAATGCTTTAGATGTATGACAGGGAAATAAGCAACAAGGAAGGAAAAGCAATGTTTTTCCCTGGGCCAGTTTTTCAGAAAGCATTTCAGTGTCCTTAAGTGTTTTTAAATATGTTTGTAAAATCTACTTTAGAAAGGGCTTAAGTATTCTGTTATCCAGATGAAGGTTTTTTTTTTTCATTTCTTGATATTTTGTAGCAAAGTTAGTTTAGAAATTAAAAAGAAGATAGCCAGGAAATTTGAGCAGCATGCTATGAAACTCAAAGATAATCTGACATAATACAGTGTTTTACAATTGGCTACTGTCTTGTCCTCTTAATCTATATATACTTAGGAAAGATCACTTTTATACAGCATGTATACTTGATTAATAGTGTTTTTATTTGGGAGCAGCATGTTTGGCTTAAACTGTGATCTGCCAGAGGACTGCCTGTGTATAGAAAAGAAGATAAATCATATATAAATATATGATTTATATGTATCTGGCAGTCTTATAATCTGTATTGCCCAACTTAAGATGTTGTTAATATTACACTTATTTAGAGGACATGTTTGGTCTTTAGGGAAAACTCAAGGTTCCTCCAAGCCCTTCTCATTGACTGAGCTGATATATATAGATGGCTTATGTCTAAGGACATTTATTGGGACATGGTACTAGGGTATGTTGCTTTATGGGCTGAAAACCTCCAGTTAGGATGGTGTCTTTGGAGCTGATCTAGTGATTCATTCCCATGGAGTCTTAATTGCATGGAGCTTATATTGTAAGAGGGGTCTCTGACCTGCTTACCCTTGGGCCAACTTTTGTTTTTCTACATCTTTATTGGAGTATAATTGTTTTACAATGTCGTGTTAGTTTCTGCTGTATAACAAAGTGAATCAGCTACATGTATACATATATCCGCATATCCCCTCCTTCTTGAGCCTGCCTCCTAACCCTCCCTATACCACCCCTCTAGGTGGTCACAAAGGACCGAGTTGATCTCGCACTAGCTATCTATTGTACATTTAGTAGTGTATATATGTCAGTGCTACACTCTCACTTCATCCCAGCTTCGCCTCCCCCCCAACCCCCCGCCCCCACCCCATCCTCAAGTCCACTCTCTACATCTGTGTCTTTATTCCTGTCCTCCTAGGTTCATCAGAACCAGTTTTTTTATAAAAAATTCCATATATATGTGTTAGCATACGGTATTTGTCTTTCTCTTTCTGACTTACTTCACTCTGTATGACAGACTCTGGGTCCATCCACCTCACTACAAATAACTCAATTTCGTTTCTTTTTACGGCTGAGTAATATTCCATTGTATATATGTGCCACATCTTCTTTATCCATTCATCGGTTGATGGACAGTTAGGTTGCTTCCATGTGCTTAGGCCAACTTTGCCAAAGACCTTGCTAACCCTTTTCTCCTATTTTCCTTGGGTTGGTGCTTGCCCCTTTTCAGCATTGGAGTGGGAAGATCTAATAAGATTAATTTGTTGGTCTAGGGGAAACAGGTCTAGGAAGTTATTCATTTTACTTTTAATGTTGGCCTTATGATCTCTAAACTGGGTTATGTAAACCCCAAGGGGTATGCAAGATAGGCCATTGGAATGTAGAAGGGAAATTTATCTTTTCTTTTTTTTTTTAATTTTTAAATTTTATTTTATTTATTTGTTTTTATACAGCAGGTTCTTATTAGTTATCCATTTTATACATATTAGTGTATACATGTCAATCCCAATCTCCCCATTCATCCCACCACCACTCCCACCCCCTGCCACTTTCCCCCCTTGGTGTCCATACGTTTGTTCTCTACATCTGTGTCTCTATTTCTGCCTTCAAACCGGTTCATCTGTACCATTTTTCTAGGTTCCACACATATGCGTAAATATACAATATTTGTTTTTCTCTTTGTGACTTAACTTCACTCTGTTTGACAGTCTCTAGATCCATCCATGTCTCTACAAATGACCCAATTTCTTTCCATTTAATAGCTGAATAATGTTCTGTTATATATGTACCACATCTTCTTTATCCATTTGTCTGTCGATGGGCATTTAGGTTGCTTCCATGTCCTGGCTATTGTACATAGTGCTGCAATGAACACTGGGGTGCATGTGCCTTTTGAATTATGGTTTTCTCTCTGGGTATATGCCCAGTAGTGGGATTGCTGGCTCATATGGTAATTCTATTTTTAGTTTTTTAAGGAACTCAATACTGTTCTCCATAGTGGCTGTATCAATTTACATTCCCACCAACAGTGCAAGAGGGTTCCCTTTTCTCCACACCCTCTCCAGCATTTGTTGTTTGGAGATTTTCTGATGATGCCCATTCTAACTGGTGTCAGGTGATACCTTACTGTAGTTTTGATTTGCATTTCTCTAATAATTAGTGATGTTGAGCAGCTTTTCATGTGCTTCTTGGCCATCTGTATGTCTTCTTTGGAGAAATGTCTATTTAGGTCTTCTGCCCATTTTTGGATTGGGTTGTTTGTTTTTTTAATATTGAGCTGCATGAGCTGTTTATATATTTTGGAGATTAATCCTTTGTCCGTTGATACATTTGCAAATATTTTCTCCCATTCTGAGGGTTGTCTTTTCATCTTGTTTATGCTTTCCTTTGCTGTGCAAAAGCTTTTAAGTTTCATTAGGTCCCATTTGTTTAGTTTTGTTTTTACTTCCGTGACTCTAGGAGTTGGATCAAAAAAGATGTTGCTGTGATTTCTGTGAAAGAGTGTTCTTCCATGTTTTCCTCTAAGAGTTTTATAGTGTCCGGTCTTACACGTAGGTTTTAATCCATTTTGAGTTTATTTCTGTGTATGGTGTTAGGGAGTGTTCTAATTTCATTCTTTTACATGTAGCTGTCCAGTTTTCCCAGCACCACTTATTGAAGAGACTGTCTTTTCTCCATTGTATATCTTTGCCTCCTTTGTTATAGATTAGTTGACCATATGTGCGTGTGTTTATCTCTGGGCTTTCTATCCTGTTCCATTGATCTATATTTCTGTTTTTTTGTGCCATATTGTCTTAATTACTGTAGCTTTGTAGTTTAGTCTGAAGTCAGGGAGTCTGATGCCTCCAACTCCATTTTTTTCCCTCAAGACTGCTTTGGCTA